CCCGTCCCTAACTGTTTCACTAAACCCTAGACCCTAAACCGCTCGCAACGATGCGAAGCCAAGCCGTCCGTCATCGAACAAGAAGAACCTTGTTTTAGGGTTTAGGGTTTGGGGTGAGTGGTATGATAGCCACAGATGGGATGAGGGTAGCCAGAAAGCCCCATTACCTCAACACCCCCTATATAACTCTGGTCACGGTCCCAACTTCATTTACCACTTTCTTTTCTATTTGATTCTCCATAATGCAGAACCCTAAACCCCAGACTCTTCCTGACTTTGTAGGTAGTTCGTTAACTAACCACAACCCAAGTTGGGTTTAGGGTTTAGGGTTTAGGGCTGTCAGATCTGAAAAGCGCCAACCGGTTCAGAACCTGAATAGGAATTGCTTGTTAGCTAGGTACACCAGTAGGACCGTTTTTTCTTTTTTTTTGGGGGGGGGTCTAGGCTAGGGTTTAGGGTCAGAGTTATATGAGGTCCAGGCACCCCGGGTATTTTGGGGTCTCCTTTCAAAGCTGAACATTAGGAGAAAGGGTACTCGTATTACAAATGGGTCACTCGTGAACGTAGTTACTCCAACCGTCATGAAGGATTGAGTACCTCCGTACCAGCGGTGGCATTTTCCACGACATGCTGTGCCTCGGTCTGAATCTGTGAAGGGTAGGCTTGACTGCGGAACTCCCACATGGGGATTTCTCAGCATTGTGACGCTTTTTTCTGAGGCTCCCATGTCAAGGGTTCATGATCTATAGGATGTGGGTATTTCCGCAAAATCATCACTTCTAGAATACCGAATAAGGAGCCAGCAGAATCCCCGTTCAATCCCTGGACGTATATCCCTCTTAGGATCCCTAGGGGGCCCACCATTTGAGATACTGATACTTTCTTGGGGTTCAACCCTTTGGGCCCAGATACCCTAAACCCTGAACTTGGGTTTTAGCAGTGGTGATTGTAGCGCAGGTGTTTGGGAGAGTAGATGATTATTCTTTATTTTGGTCTTTCAAGATTCAGGACTTCAGTGAAGATAACTGGCATTCTTACAGGAAAGTACACCCTAAACCCGTAGAGTGTTTGAGGTTGTAGGATTTAGGGTTTTGGGTGCTTTTCCATTTAGACTTGAAATAATCACACGATTCCGTCCAGAAAAAAGTTGTAGTATTTAGGTTTCTACATGGGGCCTTCCTGTTTACGGACCCAATCATGTGATTCCTTCAGATGACCCTGCGGGGAATTACGGTGACCGTACTTTGATTGAATCCCTCACCTGTTTTCGTGGACCCTTGTTCAAAATTGGGTATATGTTCTAAGTTGGCTAGTGTTGATGTAGTGGGTTGTTAGAAGTTACAAGGCAGATAAGTTTGCATTCACTTACACCGCTCTTCTTTTCGGCCATTAGTTTGTCTATGTAGAAAGTGCTTTATGACAGTCTCGTGGACGCCTGTGTGTAGATCTTTGTGTGTGCGCGATGGTGCACTCAGGGAGCCCAAGAGCGGCCGTCCCGGGCTTGATTCGTGGTGCTTGGTTTGCGTGTTGTCGTGCGTCTGCGTGTTTTGCAGATTCATGACCCCGGCGACCTCGGTGAACCTGCGGCGGTCTGGGGCTCAATTCCTGTGGTTACTTGTGGTCGCAAGGATTTAGACAGCCTATATATAGATATATGTATGTATATTTACATATCTGTATATATAATTATATAAGGCGGAATGTGCTGATGATGAATCGTTCGTTTGGACTTTGGGTTTTTTTGAGGAATACAATTATTCGCAGCATGTTGCAAGCTTTGAGGAGAACGAGTGGAGCTCATACCTCAACGCTCTGGTTTTAGTCGTATATGAGCTGCTCAGAAGGGTGCAGAGCAAAGGTTTGTTGCCTTTGTAATCGGGACGTATTTTATGAGCGGCGAGGCTTTAGTCGTATATGAGCTGCTCAGAAGGGTGCAAAGCAAAGGTTTGTTGCCTTTGTAATCGGGACGTATTTTATGAGCGGCGAGGCGAAGCACGTGCCTTCCCCTGCCTGTTACTTAGCATTTTCAACGTGTTTCCACTAATTCTTTGGCTGCGTTGAAGCAGTACGAATGGCTGAGCATGCTAGATTCTCATCGCTTCCAAAGGAATGGCTTGGTGGGAAACCTACACCACTGGCAGTGTCGGCCCAGGCCTAAGCTTCTGAAGAGATGAGTGACCGCAAGTAGGCTGTTTAGGTGTTCTGTTCTGTTTCACATTGTTCTTGACGCTATGCACGTTGACGGATTTTGTAGAGCACGTGGCAGTGTTGTGCGACTGGTCCCAAGCTTTGCCGACACTCCAGGACGCTTGGGGCTTAGTTTTGGTTGGAAATAGATAAACCATTTGTCGCATATATACATATATAGATAGAGATATATGTCACAGACGCGTTCTATTCCCCTTTTGCTGGCTAGGTCCGCTTCATGCGGCGCTTTAAAAGTCAAGGCTCTTGGGCTCACAGTTCCAATTGAGCCATGGTGCTCCCTGTTAACCTTTTTGGTCATGTGCAGTGCAGGCCTGGCCAGACCCCTGCCCCAGGCTCTGCCGAGCAGGGTTGTTCTTGCAAATCTGCTTGTGCGGTTAGACCTGAGGGTGCCAAGCGCCCACATTTGGGGTTCGGGCAGCGACCTGTGGTCGGAGACTTATTAAGCTATAGTGTGCCAGCCTTCAGCATCGTCATTGGAGTGAGTGTGTTGGATTTGCGGAGGTGGTGGGAGGCTGCCCCAACACACAGGTGCGCTTTTCTTTGGCGGTGTCAACGTGATAGAATGATGAACTGTGCCTCTTGTGACAGGCCATCACTACCCGGACCCGATTTTTTAAGAGCCGTAAAGCCTTTCTCTCAGTCGTGCGCGCGGTTTCTTCAGCCAGCGCTTTTTTGTAGTTAAGTTGGGATGTTGCAGGGGGTGTGTGCGAGACAATCCTTGCGCTTAGGACATGAATAACGCCAAACGTGCGGAAAACGGCAACATCCCGCGGGGCTCTCGGTTGCTGCCTCTGTTGCGTGGGTTATGTCTCAGTGATGATGAGCTGAGGGGTGCAAGCGCAAAGGCCAAGGCAGGACATATTGAATTGCAAGCGAATTTTGCTCTGCGTGTGCGCGAGCTGGCTCGAGGCTCGTGGAGCTCCAGGTGTTTCGCCTCCTCCTTAGAGACCTCTGCTGCAGAAGTTATCTTCGTTGGGGCTTTGCTGAGCGTGCCTGCTCTTTTCGTGCGACTGTGAGCTTAGGTTGAACCCAGAGAGTCGTCAATGCGCGAACGAGTCTCAGGAGTATCTGACATGGAGTTACGCTCATGCTGGCATGGTCTAAGGGGATGCTTCCAGGCATGCCTGGCTTAGTTGGAAAAACCATTGTTGCTCAGGGAAGGTTTTGGCTGACGCAACTCGTCGCCAGGCTGCTGGAGCGAAGCGCAAGGCGCAGGAGGAGGAGGATGAGGAGCTGGGCCTTGCTTATCGTTTTTTTTTCCGTGTGCGCGTACATATGTATGTATATACATGTTATATACATATATATATATAGATGTATGTACAAACGCATATGTGTAAGTGCTGTGTGTTTGTCTGTGTGTGTGTGTGTTTTAAGTTTGGTGCGTGCCTACGCTTGCCAGCGTATGCGTGAATGCATGCGCTTGTAGATTTGTTAATATGGCTCCGCAACCCGTAATAATTTGAGTTCGTGGCTCAATGACCCATGACAGCTTCAGAATTGTGATGCCTGGAACAGATGGTAGGAAGTATGAGGTGCCTCGAATCTAAGTGTTTTCTACTGCAACTAAGTATGGTGTTTTGTTGCCACTCATAAGTTCACTTTCCTTTCCGCGTGTGCGTGTCTCACTTCTGTTGGATGTGGAAACAAGACGGGCCACACATGTCCAGGAGCGTTTGATTCGAGCAAGGCTGCAGCAGCGTCCTTAGTTTGCCCGGATTTACAGACGTGTTCTACTGGTTGCATTTTTGAGCTAGTGGTCTTGAAGGTCGCCAGGAGGCTGCTCCGCGTCAGGCGGGCGATAAGACTTGCAGTAACTGATTCTTGTCAGGGACTACAATGCTCTTAAGACGTGAATCGCAAACATGCTGCCAGGTACCAGGCTCGAACTTCAAGAAGATGAGGCTTGTTAGGGTCGATGCAATTCACGAGTCTGATGTTCTGGCCAATTGGTGTTCAAGTTGATGTTCAAGTTCGGCCCAATGCCCAGGCTCCGCACCAACTTGCGCGTAAATGGGCTGACAGATAAATTCCCAAGGGGTCCGTGTAGCTATATAGTATATAGTGGGGCCCGAAGGCAGTTACATGGGAACCCCTTTGGGCCGTAGATAAATAAAGTGTGTATACATATATATTTTACTTATCTACACGGACCCTCTGTGAAATATGTGGCGATAGGTATTCCAAGTCAATGGCTCACTAAGCCAAGAGCACAACGTAGATTGCGCAGTACCTGTCATGTCACCACAGTCAGCGGAATTACGAAAGACCTTCCCAGGCACGACCTGCCCTAGCATAGGGATCCAAATAAAAGTAGGTTCGATTTACTGACCTGAGGGCTTGCTACACCAACAAGTTACAGACTTGGATCCGAGGGCTAGAGCAATGCTCATGGATGTGGAGTCCCTTTGGTGAGCTGTTTGATGTGCGTGTGGGTCTTGGAAATGCCCTGGCACTGATGCCCACAGAGCGGGAAATGATACCGAAGCATTTTGAACAGACCCTCATGGCAGAAACGAAGACTGTTCTTCAAGCTGCTTTCTCATTTGGAAGATGCCCCGCACCTGCGTGAGCCATACATAGTCTAAATTTCCAGTATCCCCCAAAATTACCCCTAAAGTCCTTCCCTATATAACCCTTCGATAACCCCCTTTGAGGAGTCTAGACCCCAAACCCTAGAGCCTAAACCCTAAATCCTAAACCCTAAACCCTAAATCCTAAACCCTAAATCCTATACCCTAACCCTAAATCCTAAACCCTAAACCCTAAACCCAGCATTCATGCAAGCCTAGGATTCATGATTTTGACATGCTGAACTTCCTCACCAACGGCGAGGACAGAAACCCCTGTACAGTCTACGCACCCTAGGGTTTAGGGTTTAGGGTCTAGGGTTCGCGCATCAGGGGTAGGTTTGACATGTTTTTTTTTTTATATATATATAATTTGCCTTTGTTATTATTTTATAATTTGCCTTTAAATCCTGTATCATCCTTACAATACCATAAAATGATTTTATGGGGCCCCCAAGCCTACTCTACTAATTTAGAAGCGTGGGTACGTACCAAAACTACTTCCCGAACTACAATCACTATGTAGCTGCAGCAACATACCTCTGAGCCGTATTCCGAGCATGTAGGCCCTTACACAATCTACGCCCTCTAAAGCTGCAAACTCCAAACCCCAAGCCCTAAACCCTGAATTTCCAAACCTAGACGCCAAACTCTAAATCCTAAACTTAAGTCCTAAGCCCGCGAAGCCTCAAGGGTCCAACATTGAAAAACTCTGCCTTGCCAGGAGCCAGAGTCAGTCACTGCCATCGGGCACCTCGTTCAGCGCATTCTGGGGTTGATACCAGGGATTTCCAGTTGCATAGAGTTTAGAATTTAGGGTTTAGCGGCGACGAATTAGGGTTAAGGGTTTAGGGTAGCCCTGCAAATTGGTATACCGTATACCCCAAAAGCGGGCCTTTCGGATTGAATAAAGGCAGATGTAGCATAGGTTTTGGGGTCACTAGAGGGTCCGCAACCGAAAACCCCAAACCCTGAAGCCTAAACCCTAAACCTGAAGCCCTAAACCCTATAAACCCTAAATAGTAGTTGCCATATAATTCTCCATGATCCCAATATGTCCCCTATATATCCGAACTGCACCGCGAACCCTGAGGGGCAGGGATGACCTCTTTGTTCATTTTTTGCTTACTATAGGGTTTAGGGTTCAGGGTTTTTAGGGTTTAGGTTTTAGGGTTTTAAGGTCTAGGATTTGGGGCTTGAAGGTTCAGGGTCTTTGGATTTAGGGTTTGGGGCTTGAAGGTTTAGGCTTTTAGGGTTTAGCATTTAGGGCGTGAAGGTTTCAGGGTTTTAGGGTTTTGGGCTTGAAGATTCGGGTTTAGGGCTTAAGGTTATACGCCCAGCATAAGCAGCTCAAGCTTGATGGGTTGAAGGGGTCCAGGGACCTGAGCCCCAAAAGCCTAAACTGAAGAGGCCTCCAGCTTTCCGATTTCAGGACTGGAGCTTCGAAAGAATGGCAGAACAAGCACAGCTGATGTTTAAGTCGGACTCCTTTCCCTAAGTTCTGAACCCGACCCCAAATAAGCCCATTGGTCGAACGAACAAATTTAGTTGGGGTTTGTGGCAAAGCCAAGGTTATGCTTGCGGCTGGTGCCATTCATGGTGGGGCCCACACGGATAATGTCAGAATTACACTTAAGGGGATCTGAAAGAAGATCTTCATCAGGTTAAAAATCGCCCCTGCGGTATATGGTATTCTATATAGTGCTGGCCATAGAATGATGGAGAGTCACATGGAATCAGGAATTGTAGTATAGAGAAGCCTGAAGCATTACCTACCTGGAGTTTAGAATGAGATGCTGTAGCTTTCTTGCATAGTTTAGTACGGGGTACAGTACTGCAAGCAGACGTCAACATGATGTTGGCAGTCATGTAGGAGGCTACAGTAATTACCTGTAGTCGGCTTGGAGCTAAACCTTAAACCCTAGCTTTAGGGTTTAGGGTTTAGGGTTTAGGGTTTATGTCTATTCTATACATGTACTTGGACCCGTAGTGTAGAAACTTTTTGCAGGGTTCCGATTTATTACAGGGCAGTATAGGGACCTTAAGATTTAGGGTTTAGCGTACTATAGGCACCTTAGGGTTTGGAGTTTAGGGTACCATAGTGGCCTTAGGGTGTAACTTTAGGTACTACAGGGGCCTTAGGGGTTAGTGTGCAGGGTACTTTTGGGCTATAAGGGCCTTCGGGTTTAGGGTTTAGGGTACTACAGTGGTCTTAGGGGTTGGGGTTTATTGTACCATGCGGGCCGTGGGGCTTAGGATTTAGCTCTCTGTCCACAAGGCACTGCTATAATCCAGAGATCCAGAAGATGGGCGACATCGACACGTGCGCAGTCATGTTCAAGCGCCTTGGCCCAATGTTCAGGGTCATAGGTTCCCCTGCTCCTCCGTGTATACTCCCCACGTACAAAGGCTCCCCTTAAGTAGCCTGAAGTAGCCCTAACTGGCCCCAAACCCTAAACCCTAAACTGAAAAAAACTAAGCAACATGGATCCTGAAGCTATGAGAGTGAGCCATTTCCCAGTCCCCTACTATCAACCCGTAATCAAAGTGGAGATTAGGGTGTTCAGTATCTTCCAGTCTGTTACAGGTGCTGTTGTAGATAATACTATGTTTCATCATATACCTACCTAATCTTTTAAATGGTGTGCTCGAGGCACCTCATATTCTGGCAAGAGCACAGGAACAGATTGTTAGTGCTTATTCAGGCCTGCAGGCCCCTACAGCAGATCAATACCCCTTAAGCCCTAAACTCCACCATTTCTATAAGATCCTAAAAGCCGCCCCACTTTCAACTCAAGGCCAGAATGAACCTATAGGCAATAAGACCCTAAATTGGGATCTCCCAAAAAAGGGGGGGCCCTTGTGGGAGACCCTATAGTACGGATCAGTACCTTCCAAGAAATTCCCTGAGTCCAAAGCTTTAGCCTAACTCCTCCACGAAGTCTTGGAAGGTATGCTTTGGGTTGCCCCCACCCCCCCAGAAGTAGCGGCACTGTATAGGACCCGAAGTAATGTAATTAGCATTATCCCTGGTGGTGGCTATTAGTGGCTGGGGGCACAATCTAACATACATCCTCAATTCCTAACCTTACTGCAAGTAAGGCACCTGAACCCTAAACCTTAAACCCACCTCGAAACCCTAAATCCTTTTTGGAACCCAGAGGGTCCATGTACCCATATGGTATCTACTTTGGCCCGAAGAGGTTCCTATATTGGTACTTTGGGGTCTATATACCATGTAGGTACATGGACCCTTTGGGCCAACCCCAAACCCTAAACCCTAGACCTTAAGCCCTAAACCCTAAACCAAGTGTGGAAGGTATGGGAATGGCATGCTAGCTATGGTGGACACCAGCCGGGACGCAGCTTATGGCTACGACCAGCGGATCGAGGTCTTCGGCGAGAGCGGGATGTACCTTGCTGTGTTTTACATGGGTTTAGGGTGTAGGGGTTAACCCTAAGGGTCCAAGGACCCAGGGTTTTGGGGCCCAAATGCCCTTAATATTATAGTATTGGGGCCCTAAAGCCTACTATTTGGGTCCTTTGTATTTTATTTGGGGATACGATGGTACCCATTATAGAGGAAGACTCTATCATCCTTTTGGGTATAGGAATTTATGTAAGGAATATAATCTTACTAGGTTCAACCACCAAAAAACATTACTCACATGGGTTGAGGGTTTAGGGAAAGCGGAGGAGGAGATCTTGGACCCCTTAACATCATAATATGCAGTGCCTGTTTGGGTAGGACGTATCTTTCTTGATGGTGCGGGATATCCCCCATCCACGGTAGGCCACTGTTGAAGATGGTTGTTTGTTTGTTTTTCTTGGTTTGTTTGTTACCAAAAGCCCAACCCTAAACCCTAAACCTCGCCAAAAAGCCCAGCAGATCATGTAAAAGTACATGTCAGCATAGTATCTCCAACAGGGACCCAGAAAACGGGGCTTGGAGTGTCGGGGTTGCACCCTCGACCTCTAGGGGATTTAGGGTTTAGGGTT